GTACAGACGAGTGTTACTGGCGGATGTAAGTGTATTGTTCCTAGTTTCGTGACAAAAGCTCTAAACATCATAAGTTCAGCCGGTCACAGTTCAGTCAGCTCAGTGGTGTCCATTTATGTTTGGAAAACTATGTGTTCTTTCTTTTACCAGCTTCCATGCATGACTGTTTAAGGGCCCGTCATATGAATGTTTCTGTAATGAAGCTTCAGTGTTTGAATGTAGTTCAACTGCAGTCAAGCTGAATAAGCAGTTAGCAACACTATTAAATATTTATGAAACTTAGCTAACAACATTGACACACACACACACACACACATATATATATATATACAGTGGGTACGGAAAGTATTCAGACCCCCTTAAATTTTTCACTCTTTGTTATATTGCAGCCATTTGCTAAAATCATTTAAGTTAATTTTTTTTCCTCATTAATGTACACACAGCACCCCATATTGACAGAAAAACACAGAATTGTTGACATTTTTGCAAATTTATTAAAAAAGAAAAACTGAAAAATGCTCAGTATTTAGTAGAAGCACCCTCTTGATCTAATACAGCCATGAGTCTTTTTGGGAAAGATGCAACAAGTTTTTCACACATGGATTTGGGGATCCTCTGCCATTCCCTCTTGCAGATCCACTCCAGTTCTGTCAGGTTGGATGGTAAACGTTGGTGGAAAGCCATTTTTAGGTCTCTCCAGAGATGCTCAATTGGGTTTAAGTCAGGGATCTGGCTGGGCCATTCAAGAACAGTCACAGAGTTGTTGTGAAGCCACTCCTTCGTTATTTTAGCTGTGTGCTTAGGGTCATTGTCTTGTTGGAAGGTAAACCTTAGTTCCAGTCTGAGGTCCTGAGCACTCTGGAGAAGGTTTTCGTCCAGGATATCCCTGTACTTGGCCGCATTCATCTTTCCCTCGATTGCAACCAGTCGTCCTGTCCCTGCAGCTGAAAAACACCCCCACAGCATGATGCTGCCACCACCATGCTTCACTGTTGGGACTGTATTGGACAGGTGCCTGGTTTTCTCCACACATACCGCTTAGAATTAAGGCCAAAAAGTTCTATCTTGGTCTCATCAGACCAGAGAATCTTATTTCTCACCATCTTGGAGTCCTTCAGGTGTTTTTTTAGCAAACTCCATGCGGGCTTTCATGTGTCTTGAACTGAGGAGAGGCTTCCGTCGGGCCACTCTGCCATAAAGCCCCGACTGGTGGAGGGCTGCAGTGATGGTTGACTTTCTACAACTTTCTCCCATCTCCCGACTGCATCTCTGGAGCTCAGCCACAGTGATCTTTGGGTTCTTCTTTACCTCTCTCACCAAGGCTCTTCTCCCCCGATAGCTCAGTTTGTAAGGGGGTCTGAATACTTTCCGTACCCACTGTATATATAAAGTGTACGTGTGTTTTAGACAGTGTATGTACGTGTGTTGCTGTCACAGTAAAGCTCTGCCCCAAGGGTCGAACTGAATACTCAAGGATGAAGAGGAAGAAAGAAAGAGAGAGCTTGAGATCTGTCGCTAACATCCTCTTCACAATGAAGCTATTGTGGCATGTCCGGCTCCAACAGTGTGGGCTCTCCTTCAAGTGCACAAAAACCCATCGGCCTTAATAATTTTAAAAGAACACATATATTTGGTTCAGTAGACAACAAAGGAGAGTCCTTTCAGCTTTCACACCACCATACACAATTACTGTAAAACATTTCCATAATCACAGTGCTGTGCTAATGAACTACACAAAACATGCATTCAAATCTCTATATCAATGAAGAAACATAAACAACATTTTGGCATTGCTATATCAATTTTTACAGGTTATGACTATATCACTACTAGAAAACATTGGGAATCTTTAGTAGGGTGACACATTATCTGATTTTTTAAAAGAACCAAATTAACTGACTCACTTAAATCAAATGTGAGAAAAATATTATCACTGCAGCATTTTGTTTAAAGGCAGACAGTGTATTAGCATTATCATGTCTATATCACTACTCCTTTCTGAGAGCTCTGTAAGGCTGAAGGGGTGGGGAATTGAGAGTGTGCTCTCAGTACTGTGGGCTTAATGGGGAAATAGATATAAATGTGTTTTTTTGGGGCAGCTGGAGTAATGAGGAATGACAGAGACATAATCCCTGTGTGTAACCTCAGTAAACACTGGCAGCGGTGGTGTGGGGAGGGACACCACGCTTGACAGGGTTGAGTCCTGTCCTCTTCCCCCTGTTTAAATGGAATTTACGTTAGGTTAGCACCAATGACAAAAATCCAATTTGCAGCATTATGCCACTGGCAAAATCTAATTTTAAGATGACTGCATTCCAAGAGTTTTCTCTTACATTCCTTGCATGACGGTAAACTGGGAGTCTTGCGTTCGCTCCCCATCGCCTGCATGAGTAGTAATTCCCAGTTGTCAATTTTCCAATTTCATTGATGTTAAACTATGCAAGAATGCAAAATCTGAGGACTGGAGGAAAGAGATAAACGGAATGAAACATGGAGAAGTAGTTAGTGACTAATAAAGTAGAAGAAGAAGAGTCTGAGATGTCCCCTGATGCTACAATCCTCTTCTGAAAAAGAGCCTGTGCGTGAGGAGATGCTAAGTGTCGAACCATCTGCTTTCGACCCTTCAAAGAGGCTCCCGGCTGAACCTGCCTTATTAAACAGGGCATCCCACAACTACAAAGAAAGCTGGTGAGGTATTGCATACGCAGATGCACTGGCTCACCCACAGCTCAACGACACAATCCCATGCTGCTTTACAACCGATCAGATAAATCCCATACCAGCCGTTGTGTCTAGATGGCAAACCTCGATCTGTGAAAAGCCTAAGAATAAAGTTATGGCACTTACAAACTGGAAAAGAGTTTGAAATGGGGGTCAATGGAGTTTAGAGACCAAAAGAGTTATTGTGAGAAAATAAATAACTAAATAAACTAAATAATTTACCTAATTCACACAGTATTATCAGTATATATACACATTACTGTTCAAAGGTTGGGGGTCAGTAAGATTTGTATTTTTTTTTAAGGAAATTAATTTTAATTAGCTAGGATGCATTAAATCCTTGATGAAAAGCTTTAATCCTAAAATCTTGAATCACGGGTTCCACCAACAACAGGGTTCACAGGACAACAGTTACCGTCTAGACACAACTCAGGCACGACCCATGACAACAAATGAAGAGGGTACTTTGGATGACTATAGGGTAATTACCAATATTCGGCCGTTACTCTCAGCACTTACTGCCACATTAGTCGGTACCTTCAACAAAGACCTAAATGGGAATGGCTTGAACTCTTAAAGTCTGGCACTGATTCTTAACTGCAGCCGGACGTCTGGGTGAAAAAGACACAGACTGACATAACGGATGACTAGCACTCATCAGAGGCTCCAGCACCCTGTCCCCAGCCACCGTGCTGCTTATTTAGAGCCTCTCGCCGCAATTCATTTTTTGTCCGTACTCTGGGTTTCCTGCTTCAGGAGATGCTTAACATTACGTTCATCCACCAGCCCGTGGGGCCAAAAGTTGAGTGTAATGTGATCAGTAATGAATTTTGTGTTACATTAGGCTGTATAAATGGACGGACAAGCACAGACTACAAGTGTCCGGTAGTCGGGCTTAATCTAATGATGCAAAAATAGAGACAGAACCAATTATAGAGAGGGCCAACTCGGTGCTGCTGCAGGGACTGCAAATGAATAGGTACAAATCAAATTAGTGCCTAATAGACGCGCTACGAGAGAGGGCCAGTCGATGCTAAATGCATTAGGGCCTTGTGACCTCGCTGCTCCAAGCAGCGGCGTCCAGGATCCAAGCTCCATCTTCCCCAGATATCAAAGAAAGTCTTGTTCAGACGTGGGGGAGGGCCGGAGAGCAGCAGCTTCCTAAATGAGTTAAACATTTGGATTGTCAAGAGTGGCAATTTCCCCCCTCATTTCGCTTGGTCTCTCCCTCAATGCGAATTACCTAATTTGTTATTGTAAAACCTCGGAAATGTGTCTTTTCCAAGATCTGTACGAGAGATCACGTAAATACGCCAGGGCGTATTCTTATCTCTGCGCAATTCGAACAGGATTGAGGAGACATAACTGATTCCCCCTAGTCACTGGAGGAATTAGCAAGAGCAAATCAAACAAAATAGGGTTTACCATATTAACTTCTGAGGGAGTTTGTTTGCTTTTGAGCTTAACGAGCTACTAATGAGAATAATTAACTTGGCTGAAGTTCTGTTGGCAGGTCTTTAATAACAACAAAAAAAAATATCTGTTTTTTTTTCTATACACTCTCAGAAGGTACAAAGCTGTCACTTGGGCAGTACCCTAAGGTACAAAAGCTAAAAGGTACATCTTTGTACCTTATTTACTCCTAAATGATACATATTAGTACTTTTTAAAAATACATATCAGCACCTAATGTTAGTACTTTTTGAAAGGGAAATGCCCCAGTGACAGTTTTATACCTTTTTTTATCTTCTTGTACGAAGTTATCATTACATATTCAAATTCCTTTTGAACATCACATAAAATAAATTTGTACATACAATGAAATTAAGTGGGGTCTAATGTTGTTCTGGCCCACAATGGCTTTCATTATATGAACCAAAACATTTGATACATTACTTTTTTGTTTCACAGCAGAGAGAAAGTCATACAAATTTTGAGAACCATTCTTTTTAAATCTGTGATGTTAACTGTTGTTTTTAATGGTATGTTATATGGCTGTGCAAATAATCGAATGCGATGATCATGCGCATCTCATTAGTAAAGTCGGTTCTGTGATTAGTAGTAAATCTCCATCACATGCTTTCAGATGGAGCGGCATTTACTACACAGAGCCGTAGTTCACTGACAAGCTACGCAATATCACGCTCATAATCGCAGGCATACCGATAATGAACGCGATATCGTGTAGCTTGTACTATTTGCACAGCCCTAGTATGTTATCTGACATCCATTGCCTATATGTTGTACATAATACCATTAGTGAGAGTGTTTGCGCTCACCTGTCCCAGAGCCCACAATGTCTCTGCTGGGCGACTCTGACATTGCATCTGCCAGCCTCTCCTTCAGGCCCTCTTCCGTGGCTTCCACAGAGGACATGTGACGCAGTCCGAAACTCTCAGGCCAGCTGCCACACACCTCCAGCAGGGTGACGCTGCGGTCAAACATGCCTGCCAGAGAAAAAACGAGCGAGAAGAGCAACAGTTCAAACCTCGATTTTGATTCACACTACATTAAAGCTCATTACAATTTAATTTTATCACTGCAAACTGCAATTTTTTTCTGTCCTTTATACTTGTTGCTTGTCTAAGTCAAAAATCACATCGTACCGGCTTGAAAACACTGCAATTCTGTTAGTCTCGTTGAAGTCATAATACATAATGAACCTGAAAACTGTCTATGGCTACGCTGGTGTAACTCAGAGGTCATAAACAGCTATCTGTGTTTCATCTGGCACACATAGCAGCTCAAGCCCCAGCTGACCCCCCTTGCCTTCCTCTGACAGGGATAGCAAAGAGGAAATGACTGACCCCTGAAAAACACCACTGTGGGCCAGTATGACTTCAAACAAAAACACTGGGCTCATTTTTTTTTTCAGCAATAAGCGCCTAGGCCAATAAAAGAGATATTGCATAAGGAGGGGGGTGTTAAGGAAGCACAGTTTGCCTGTCTCCCATGATGCTGCATTTCAGACAGTGGCATCTTTCTATTATAGATACCTGCCACATAAAATACAGCTGCTTTATCTGAACGGCCTGTAGGGAGACCCTTTGATCTACAGGCCAATGACTATCTGGCCTTGTCTGGCCTCCCCTGCAAATCCTCAGCCACACTCGAGGCCTCTGACAGGCGCTAATGCGCGGGCGAGAGAGAAGCGCGGGCGGCCGGTGGCACAGTGCTGATAGGGAGGCAAGAGGCCTGCCGTTATCTGCTGTAAAACACTAGTCCAGCCAGACACACAGACAGCAGATAACTTCATACCACTTCATAAAAAGCTGTTTGTCCTGTGTCTGCCATTGACTCCTCAAAGCACTGAAATCACCCAAGTCAACAGGCCCGCCATCAAAGCAACTTCCTGCAGGTTGAGTTGAAGTGGCAACCATACCTGCTGCCCACAAACAACAGCTCTGCATGTCACCAAAATACTACAGCACATGCACACTACAGCACTTTGGTCTTTTATGGGGTTTTGATATTTCATAATGCCAAGTAGTACAGAAATACAAAAACGAACTTTCAATCAAATCAAATCAATAAAATAAAAATAAATTAAGAACAGACATTTGCTCAAAAAAAACAAAAAAAACATATGAATTAGTAAAGAAAAAGACCAATGAAAAGAAATGGAATCAATACATAGACTACATGTATTGAATTCTGATATTTTTTTAAAGTAATAATAATCATAATACTCGCCATATAATGTGGCCGATATATACAATGCCTGTTTAAAAGATTGGGGTCAGTAAGGCTTCATTCGATCAAAAATACAATAATAACAGTAATATTGTAAAGTTTTATTATAAAATAACTATTTTCTATTGTAATATATTTTAAAAGGTAATTTATTCCTGTGATGGCAAAAAGCTGAATTTTCAGCACCCATTACTCCAGTCTTCAGTGTTGCTTGATCCTTCAGAAATAATTTTAATATGCTGATTTGGTGGTCATGAAACATTTCTTCTTATTATTAATGTTTTAAACCATTGTGTAACTTAATGTTTTGTAAAAACATTCTTAGTCTTTGATGAATAAAAAAGTTAAAAAGAAGAGCATTTATTGTGCTTATAGGTCAACCTGTTCAGAAGAAAGACAAAACACCTAACCAGAGCAAAGTGCTTTCTTTCATGGTCAGGGTCATCAAACTGCTGAAAGTGTTGAACAAGTTTAGGAGGCTGGAGCACGCACCTCTGCGAGTGTTGTTTTAAAGCAGCCCAACAGCTGAAGGAGAACTTCACAGAGGATGTGGGGTCAGAAGTTCATCCCCACCAATAGGGAAGATCTCTTCATTAGACTGGCTGACAGCCACCACAGCCCACATTCCGCATTATTCACACCCGTCAGAGCTCAGCTTCACCAATTCAATAATAAAACGCCTGCCGCAGATTTTTGGTGAGACAAAAGGCCTGAGCGGACCAACGTGGATCCTCGCGGTGTTCCTCTTGCTTTTGATTCTTCACTTGGAAATCCTGTCTGAACTACTGAGGTATGAGGATGTGATGTTAACATTTAACAGGCAGGAGGAGAAAAAAAAAACTTTTTTTTATCATCATAAAACCCATGTGGGTTAGTCGTCTCCTAGATGTTGGCAAAAGCAGGGCAACTTATCTCATTTTTAAGATTTTCTTTATTTAGTTCAGAGAACATTCACCTTGAGAGCCTTGGGTTACGGCAGGTTTACTGAGGCATGTGGGGGGAAACACATTATCCCGTTTCTGGGCTACAAGGGGCACCAGAGAAGTGTAAACAGCTAAAAGAACAGCAAAGGTGGGGCTAATTCAATTAGGTTTTATTAAGGGGCTATAAGTGAAATTGAGCTAACAAGCAATTATCCCCAGGAAAGTGTGTCAGACATGTGTAATGTTGCTCACTTGTATCTAAAAACAAACAGGCTTCTGGTGGAAAATGGACAGTGTGTAAATCACGGGTTGTCATTTGTCCAAGAAGGCATCTGCTTGAACTGCCCCTGCCGAGAAGACCTCCACCTTTTTCTGGCATTTTGCCACTTTTATTTAGAAGAGGGTTGACGGAGGACAGGAAATGATAGGGAGAGAGAGATGGTTCGGGAACAGGAAGTGCCCACATGATCTACACACTCTGCACTAATTACAAGCTAACTGATAAATAAAAAATTATAAAAAAATAAATAAAGTAAAATAAAATGGTGGCAAATCACAAAAGTTACTTAAAAGCTGACCAAAAAAAAGACACTACTAAAGTTGGTGGCAAATCACTAAATAAAAATAAAATAAAATAAATGAATGAATGAATGAATAAAACACTTTGACTAGCTACAACTAAATCAATTGCTAAAATTTTGGTGGCGACTTTAGAAGGAAAGTAGCATGGCCAGAATTGAGTCGAGGACTGTAGTTAGTCAAGTAAACTTTATTATCAGTTGATTATGGCCTTGCTCGAGTGAGTGTCCTCTTTGAAGAGATCAAGCCATCCAACTCTCCAGATAAGAGCGACACTGGGCACTCAGGCCGGCTTTATTTCCGTACCCTCCAGCTCCTCAGTGTGCACCCTGCTTTCACTGGCTCTTAATCAGAGACCACTTTAAAGTGCCGCCGGTATACAGACACACACAGCATCAACGGCTACTAAAAGCCAGACGAGCGCACCACAGCTAGAGCGATACGGACCCAAAAGCTGCCAGAAGTGTTTAGCGCCAATGTGTGAGTGTTAATGTAGATGTAAGCTCTGAGGATTAGCAGTAAGATAGATGGCCATAAGGAAGTCTTTTCCCCCACCTCCAAGGCCCCCATCCTCATTACATTACACTGCCTTTTAAATCATTTACTCCCTCGCTCTCTCTTTTCACTCTCGCTCTTTAGCTGTGAGAGTGTGAGTAATCCCATCAATATCCTCACCGGGCTTTTACGCTCTCTTTCACACAATGGATTCCGGCTCACTCAGCCACGGCACTCTCCGCCCCGTTCAAAAGCCAGGTCGGCAAACTTAGAAAAACAGAGCACCGTCTGACAATTAGTCTTAAACCTTTAATAGCGAAGAGAGCAATGCGTCGTGTGTGGCACTAGCTGTGGCTCCTTAAATTGTCAGTGTGAAAGTATATTCAGAGACATTGTGTCTCCTATTCATAAAAACACCTTTATTCACTCCATGGGTGTGAAACGGCTCTTCCTGCAGGAGGAGGATCAAAAATCAGGGTTAAATCCGTGATAATGCCGCTAAGAGTTATGATGACCTGCTGTCTCCACAAAAGGGTTGTGAAATGATCATAGCGCTGGATCATAATGCACCCATTGAGCCTATCTGGATTAGAAAGTCCTGCCTGGGCTCCCAAACACCTTTAATAGATTAAGAGAAGCCTATATCTTTATGTATTCACATGCTCTGTCCTTTGTATTCTCCTTCTTTAATTACATATGGTTTCAAAACACTTATTCATTCTGCTGAGAGATGGGATGGAGAAGCGGCAGAAACAGGAAGCCAAAAACTCATCCACTACATCTGGCATTAACATGCATTTTAAGTGGTAGGATTGTGAAGTGGATCACTGAAAACATATTTTTAGATGATTTGAAATAGTTTTTGACCACATTTACTGAAGATATCAATGCAATTGTGTTTTTGTTAATAGATTTCAGCTACGTACATTATATGCAATGAGGTTTTACACTGCTAATAATCATATGTCCCTTTGATCGATTGTTGAAGTGTTGGAGTGGATGTAAAACAATTTGGTTTAAAAACATGCTTATATTAGTAAAATACTAAAATGTTACAGCCCGATGTAAAGGAGGCCTGAAATACAGCACTAGAAATCAAAATCATGAAGTTTGTGCAAGCTTTTATATATTAAATGAATGTTTACATCAATGTCAGATTGCAAAAACATACAGGAGCTTTCACAAGCCCACATCTGATATTAAGTGCACTGGTGCTATGTGTATCTTGCTAATGTCAGAAGAAACCAATTGCATTGATGATTAAAGCAATAGGGGTGATGCCGTGATTGGTGAGGGCATCATCAGTATCAAACCCACTGGTTTATATAGGGTCCACTTGTCCCTTTACCCTCCCTAAGAGAGATTCCAGGCAGGAGTGGGGCTGCTGAACTCGTCCCATCCACCTCCATTTCCAAGTTCAAGCCACTCTTCTCATTAGTTGCTCTCAGAACCCCATAACTCAACATCAAACATCAGCATTAGTGAACAGCGTGGCTGCTGCAGCCTCTGCGGTTCTCGCTCGCTGTCTGGGAAATAAACGAGGGCAGAAACGAGTGCGACCTCGCTTGGGACAACACCGCTGTGTGTTTCTCCTTTCCCGTTCCTTCGCTTCGAATCGGAGGGTTGCGGGACCGCAATGATTAAAGGAGAATGATACGCTTCACGCAGAGCAGACCCTGCAGGATGTGTTTGCTGACAAACTGCCCCACTCTCTGACAGCTCGGGCGAGAGAGAGCGCACTCCCATGGCCGTGTTCG